TCTCATGTTTGTATTAAAAGAGAAGCTAATAATAAACTCTATTTTAATAAAAAAAAAAAGAATGTAAACAGAGCCCCCATCTCTTCAGAATTCTGCTCCAATTCACTGGACTTCATTAATCCTCTTAACCATCCAGATAGAGACTTGTTCCTGACAGAAAGCAGATAAGGAAATGATGGTATAGAGATAGGGGAAAGATTATAATAGACACAGGACAATCACCCACTGAAAAGAACTGATTATGATTTTGGGGGAGCTAAGATTAATTAAATAATTCAGGGTTTAATTTGTTATCTACATGTATCTTAACTTCTATTTATTTATTTATTCTTCTTTTAAAAACTGTCTCTGTCTGTGCCTATTAAGTTGGCAGAAACTGGTCACATTTACCACAGCAAACCTACCAAAAAAATCAAAACAAAAAACAAAACACAGCCACTGATCCACATAGAGAGGTCACCTTGAGTCCGAAGTACCCAAGCCAGAAAGATATTAAGGGATGACCATCTGTCGGGGGAGGGCTTTGATTGTGTATTCCTGCATGGCAGGGGGTTGGACTTGACAGCCCTTGAGGTCTCTTTCAACTATATGATTCTATGATTCTAAAAAAGGGAAAGGGGCAAGAGGAGTGACAGAAGCCCAAGAGTTGTAACTGTGGACAAGCCTGAAAAGAGGATCCCTCACACCATGTAACACTGGCTTTCAATTTGCTTCTGAGCTCAAGTCAAGGTGATGGTGTTGACCTACAAAGTCATAAATGACTTGGGGCAAAGATATTTGAAAGACTGCTTCCTCCGATATGAGCCTGTTATATATCATAGGAGGCCTTGTTACATGTCCCAACACTTTGTGAAGTTAGACTGGTAAGTAACAGGGCTTTCTCTCTAGCCATGCCTCAACTATGGAACTCCCAAACCAAGAAAGTTAGTTTGCCCCATCTCTTTTAAGCTTCTGGCAAGCAACCAAAACAGTACTATCCTGCATGGCATTCAATGTTTGAAACTACTGTTTTAGTTGTTTCAAGACTGGACACTAGAGTTGTTTTTAGACAGCTTTTAGTTTTGTTTTGTTTTTTTTTTAAAAAAAGAGTATTTGAATGTGTTTTTTAAAATGTTTTATTTTTGTATTGTTTCAATTTGTTCGTTTCCTCAGGAGCCCTTGTGGGCTGGGAGGCAATACTGAAATTCTTTAAAAGGAGAAGTGAAGATAGGAGAAAGGAACATTAACAATTTAAAATATGCAGATGATACCATACTATTAGCAGAAAATATCATAGACTTGGAACAATTACTAAGGAAAGTTTAAAAAGAAAGCGCAAAGGCAGGCTTGCTACTTAATATAAAGAAAACAAAAATAATGACCATGGATGATTTACATAAATTCAACCTAAGTGCTGAGGATATTATGGATGGCCAAAAAGACAAACAAATGGGTCCTAGAATAAGTCAAGCCTAGTATCTCCCTGGAAGCCAAGATAATCAGAGGCTGTCATACTTGGGCCACATCATGAGAAGGCATGACTCATTAGAAAAGACAATTATGATAGGAAAAGTAGATGGTAGTAGAAAGAGAGGAAAACCACATGTCAGATGGCTAGACTCAACCAGGGAGGCTATGGGCCTGAACCTGCAGGACCTGAGCAGAGTGTGAGAAGAGAGGGTCTTGGGGATGTCTCATTCACATGGTTGCCATGAGTCGAGGTCAACTTGAGGGCAGTTAACAACAAAAGTTGATTCTGACTTACAGTAGCTCTATCATAGAAGAAAGTTTTCCTTCCTTTAAGGCTGAGAGTGTGACTTCTCTGTCACCCAGTAGGTTTTCATGGAAGAACAGGGATATGGACCCTGACAAACTTTTAGTTCTGGGTGACTTCAACATCTCTCTCAAGTCCAGTTTAACAGGTGCGGCTTGGCAGTTCATGGATTCCATGACAGACATGAGCCTATCCCAATTGGTTTCCGGGCCAATGCATTCTGCAGGTCATATCCTTGATGCAGTCTTTAGTACGGAACAGGCATATCTGTGGGCAGAGGTAATAAATACCACTGCACTGTCATTGTCATTGGTGGATCATTTCCTGGTCAAGGTTGGACTAAGAGCCACAGTCCACCCCACCATGGATGGAGGACCTATTAGAATGGTCCACCCTCGGAGGCTAATGGAGCAATTGGACT